CTTCTCAAAATAACAGTCCATATACATCTCCACAACCTACTCCTGATACACCATCAAATCGAATGGTCACTAGGTCTCAAAATAATATTTTCAAACCCAAAGTGATTTTTGATTACCTTGCAACCTCCACAGTAAAACACCTTCCGCTTACCCCAAATACATTTAGTCAAGCATCCAAATATCCCGAATGGCAGGCTGCTATGACAGAAGAACACATCGCTTTACTTAAAAATAAAACTTGGTCATTGGTTCCATCTAGTCCCTCTCAAAACGTAGTTGGGTGCAAATGGGTGTTTCGTGTCAAACACAAGTCTGATGGATCCATAGAGCGTTACAAAGCTAGATTAGTGGCAAAAGGATTTCATCAGCGTCCTGGAATTGACTTCCATTCCACCTTCAGTCCAGTTATTAAAACCACAACTATTCGCCTCATCTTGTCCCTAGCTGTGTCTCTTAAATGGCCGTTGCGTCAACTTGACGTAAATAATGCCTTTTTACAGGGTACTCTACATGATGTCGCCTTCATGCAACAACCACCTGGTTTTGTAGATCCCCGATTCCCTAATCACGTGTGTAAACTACACAAGTCTATCTATGGACTTCGCCAGGCACCACGCGTATGGTATACTGAAATAAAGACGTTCCTCTTATCATGTGGCTTTTCTCGTTCCAAATCTGATGATTCTTTATTCATCAAATGGTCTCCTAACTCTCTCATTATTGTTATGATCTATGTTGATGATATTGTTGTTACAGGCTCTAACAACTCGCAAGTTTATGCAACAATTAAGTTGTTGGGTGATAGATTTTCCATTAAGGATCTTGGTCCTTTACATTTTTTTCTAGGGGTTGAAGTTATCCAGCATGATCATGGATTGACTCTCACACAAACTAGCTTCATTGCGGACATACTCAGCAAGTTCAATATGCTGGATGCAAACAGTGTGAGCACTCCTCTGTCCACAAGTGAATTTTTATCCTTGGATGACGGTTCTCCTTCGGCAGACGCTACACTTTATAGGCAGGTCATTGGCTCATTGCAATACCTCACTTTCACACGGCCTGATATATGCTTTGCGGTAAACAAGCTCGCTCAATTCCAACACTCTCCATCAACTAAGCATTGGCAAGCAACAAAGAGGCTTCTTCGTTATCTAAAAGGAACCATAACCTATGGACTTCACTTCAAACGTGGTGACTCTTCTCAGTTACTTGCATACTCAGATGCAGATTGGGGTGGTATTCCCGATACTAGACACTCCACTTCAGCCTACGTTATTTTTCTTGGAAAGAATCCAATCAGTTGGTGCTCCAACAAGCAACGCACTGTTGCCAGATCTTCAACAGAAGCGGAATACAGGGCTGTAGCAAGTGTTGTAGCTGAGCTCAATTGGCTAACCAACCTACTGCAAGAACTTCGGGTCAAGCTGCCTTGTCCCCCTAAGGTCTTTTGCGATAACATTGGTGTCACTTACCTATGCCGTAATCCAGTCTTTCACAGTCGAATGAAACATGTCGCAATTGACTTTCATTTTGTCCGTGACCAAGTGGAAAGTGGAAAAATTTCAGTTCATCACATTCCAACAGGAGCTCAATTAGCAGATGCCTTAACTAAAGCACTTCCCAGAAGGTCCTTTGTCCACCTTGTTAGCAACATCGGTCTCAAGCAAATTGAGCCGATGTTGAGGGGCCATGATAAGGATAAGGATATAGAGTCCTAGTACGTTAGTATGTTTGAGTCATATACGTAGTTATTTCCCTTCTCTTTAGGTCTCTCACGTTCAATAGACTTCTTTATCTTCTATACTTGTTCATGTATAAATACCACACATTGTATCAATAATACTAATGCTTTCATAATAATATACAACTCTTATAGTAGCCTCTTGTATGTAAGCATTGAAACGGTACAGCTTATCCCTATGCTCGCTTGCAACATCTCCGGTAGACACCATCTGTATCATACCGGTCTGATCAACAACAAGAATGTGGTTACCTGGCAAGTAACATGTTCTGTTACATAAATTGAAAGAAAGCTTTCGGGAATGAAAATACATTGTTATAAGAGAAATAATGCATATTGTTCAGGGGACAAAAACAAGTCTGGTGCCAACTGAATAAATATTGAGTAGAATACGGCACTCCAAGTGAAGTTGTCAAGGATGATGTGTTGAAAGTTGTAGAGTATTTTCACCAGAACAAACATTTTGCAAGGAATATACATGCAATATAAACTGCTTGCCTTAACTCCCATGAAGAATGGAGAGTTAATGGTCAAAACACACATGAACTATCACTTTTTCCGAGTTTTAAATCTCAACTATAAGTTGTTTCCTTTTCCTACATGAACTATCACCGTCTGTGTATTAAAACACACCTCAAATGTCAGTTGTTCCCTTTTTCTACCATAATTATCACCATCTTTCACGTAGGAAAAGGGAAAACTTTGATAGTCGAAGTGTGTTTTAATACATAGAGGGTGATAGTCCAGTTTGAAACTTGCAAAAAGTGATAGTTCAAGTGTGTGTTTGACCGTTATCTCAAGAATGGAACTAAAAGTTGTATCATTTGTAGGTTTTTGGATAAATGATAAACATGTATGTTTTTTCTCCGCCCATAGGGGTTTAAGGTGAGGTAACTCTCTTTCTTTTTTTTTTACTTTTTATTTTAGTTCTGGAGGGCCTTGGTAGAAAGACTAGCAAGGCAACACGGCTTGGCTGGATAAAATGTTTTCAAATAGATACAAGAGGCAAAGGATCACTCACATCTTCTATATATATTATGTCTCTATATCCAATACCCCAATACTAAGGAAGAAAGAGATGAGTTCAGGGAAGGCTTCTTGTGGCAAGCTAATAGAGAGAAGAAAGCCTTCAACCTCGTCAAATGAGAAATTGTGACAACAAGGAAGAGGGAACGCGAAATAGGAGCAAGAAACCTTAGGATAAACAACAAAAATCTCCTTATGATGTGAGACTTTGGAGGTTCTACAAAGAGGAAGAAGAAATGAAGAAGCAACTGATTGCAGAAATAATATGGGACGGAGAAGTTTTGTGATCACGAAGGTTCCTAACTATTCTATGGAGTTGGAATATGTCAGAACTTATGGGGTGAATTCTCAGAGCACATTCACATTAAACTGAAAGATGGTATAAAAGCCCTTTTCTGGGCAAAAATAGGTGGATAGGGGCACTCATGATTCGAGGAGAAATTTTCTAGGACTTTCAGCTTTGCAACAATAGAAGTGTATCACGACTGAAATGGAGGAAATGAGCCAATTTTAGCTAGTGAATGAAGGATTCAAGGACTGCAAAATGCTTTACCTGACAAGGCCAAATGGAAGGAAATAGCACTGATAAATGATGTTACTCGACTTAAAAAACATAAGGAAACTCACCTATACTATTTTTAAATCGGTAAGATTATCATTTTGTTCTCACATTAATAATGCAATAACATTTGATTTTTGAGAAAAAGAAAAACAGATATAGAACTCAAAATATCAAAATTCGATATACCTCCTCAATAGGTCTGCCTAGAAACCTCAAGCAACGCTCTAATTGCCATCAACTTCTGCAATTGCATGGGATGTCAATTCTTTTGCAAGGATAAAAAAGAAATTGTATCACAGCCATAGTGCTGCCGAACAAACCAAGCGAACAACTTTTCACTTCTTGATTTCCGCATGAAGCTCTGGTAACATGTCAACGATGGAAGGATTCTCACTAATAGCCTTTACCAGTAACTCAGATGTAGTTGCGTCAAATGAGAAGCCCCTTCCAGTCATTTCCTTCATAAAAGTTACCATTTCATTTATTTTCCTGCACCTAAGATATCCTTGCACAATAACATTGTAAGTTACATTGTCTGGAAAACAACTGTTGTCTTCCATTTTTCTAAGCATATCCTTAGCTTCACCTAACAACCCTTGTAGACAAAATCCAGCTATCATCATAGTGTATGTTCTCACATTCGGAAGCAATCCCATTGAAGAAAGCTTCTGAAAAATAGCATGAGCTTTATCGAGTTCACCGTTTTTACACAATCCATTAATGATAATATTGTAATACATAATATTAACATTTTCTCTTTCTTTCCAACTTATTAAAGAGTGACATAGCTTCTTCAACAAGTCCGTACTTAAAATAACCATCAAGCAAAGTACCATACATGTATCAGGGGTAGGCCCCGCTGATACCATCTCTACAAACAGTTGTTTTGCAACACCAATTCTTCCAATTTCAAACAGGCCTTGCAAGATAGTATTGTAGGTAACAATATTAGGCTTTAATCCCTTTTGAGAAATTTCACGAAACAACTGCATGGCCTTGGTGAGTTTCTTTTTCTTACCGTATCCATTTATTAGTATGTGATAATGTATCTACAACTTATTTATAATTGATTTTTTTAATCAATTTTTTATTTATTTAGTATAGTATTTTGTTCAGTAAAATGGATGAGAGATAGAATAAAATTAAAAAGAGGTATCAAGTGCATCGATATTCGCAAAATAAATACATTGAAATTCCAAGTGAGAATTTCAAAATAAAGAATCTTATATGACCAAGATCATTTATCAAGTAAAAAAAGAATGAATACCAACAAACCAATAAAATTATATGTTTTTCACTTTTATTTTTTTAATTATTATTTTTAAAAGGGAAAAGACATAAAATTCCCCCTGAATTAGTTCGCATAACTTACTTTAACTATACGGGTGTTTAAATATCCCCCTTAACATCTTTTAAATGTTTTTTTTCAACCCTCCCATCACTAGCCCAGTTGAAGGCTGGGTGTTGTTAAATCACACGCGTTTTTATTCGTCCACGTGTATGTTAACTAAATTTCTAATTAATTACTTAAATCTCCATAATAATTTATTTTTTTCATCACTAATTGTCTTCCCCAATGTTTGCCACCTTCTCAACAACAACTCTTCTTTTTACAGTGAAATTTTCTTCAACTTTTCTTCTTCCATTATATAATAATTTTCTCTTTATGTAAAAAAAAAAAAACTTCTCCAATTTTCTTTCTTTTCGTAAGAAAATAAGTTTCAATATTCCATTTGTAGACATCAATTTCCACATTAAACCAACAATTCCTATATCCACCATGATTATATCTAAAATTGAGCCAAAACTAAATCCATCGATGAATTTACCCCTCAATCTACAAATTATAATTTCAAATTTCAATTGCAGTTCCAGTTCAGTTTTTAGTTACATCATACCACCTTCCTTGAAAATTAAAAAAATTATTTACATAAAAATGTTAATTTATCAATGAATTGGACGAAATCTCCACAATCAACTTTTTGTCAACAATATCTTTGAATTTGAAAGAAAAACAGAAAAAAAAAAAACGATTAAAAACAGAAAAGAAACGAAGAAGAAAAAATGTGGAAAAAGTTACAGTTGGGAGTAAATGAGTAAATGTTTATCTTGAACTGAATGAAAAGAATAAGAAAGAGAAAGAGTCTTGAGAAAAGAAAAAGAAAGGAAGAAGATGATGAAAAAAAAAATACAGAGAAGAGAAGTTAATTGAAAAATAAAATGTTTAAAAATTAGTAAAATAAGTTATTAAATATGTCATCCAATAAAAAGATGACATGTGTCAGTTTTTTGGTTTTTTTTTTGGTCTCACGCGCTTATAGAAATTTGGTGATACAAATTTTGCCACGTCACCCTTTAAGGGATAATTAAATTCACTTCAAATTAAATTAGGGGGGTAAACAAACACCCGTATGGTTAAAGTGCTTAAAGTAAATTGTGCAGACAAGTTAGGGGGGAATTTATGTAATTTCCCTTTTTAAAAATCTGCTTTGTATTATTGTATTCACTATATATCACTTTGTAAATTTATGTGTTACAGGCTTAATGTTATTATTATATAGAACTAATAAATTGAAGAAAAAAAAATAGAGTGATGGATAAAGAAGAATTCTTACCAAACAATTTCATGTCATTTGTTAAGTTTAGGCTAATGTTTCGAAAAAAATTGAAACTATCAAGTCATTGAAATAATATTCTTTAATGATATTAATATTTTACTTAATCTTTTTTTTCGAAGAATGAAAGAACACTAAAAATTTATCTATTTTAACTAATGAATGTGGAAAATTATCATGATAAACTTTGAATATATAGGTCGATATTCATATTTTAAATGATTTTATATATATCTCGAAGTTACTTGTGTTCACGTCGATATGATATATGTAGTCATTAAATTTTATAATTTTAATTAAAATATTTTAATTTTTACTGTATTTGCAATTGTTTGTTGAATGAATTGTAAATAAGATGATGAAAAGTAATGAAAAATTTGCAATTATCTTAATGTGGTTAAAAGCACGTAACCTTATATTTTTAAATTCGATTCTCTCATATATTAATATTAAAAAAAATATGCAATAACAATATTTGCTCTCTTTGCTTTGTTTGAAGGTATAGTTCCTCGAATAAAAAAATTCATTTTTTTTTATTTTAACAAATTTTCATATCTTTATTTCAATATTATACTACACTATTATATTACTTCTTAGACAAATTAAAATATTTCAGACATTAAATAAAAATAGTTGGCTTAGAAATCTAAGTATGTTATATTATTTATTTATACAAAGAAAAATAATGAAACTCTCTCCTTACATTCTCAATTGTTTATTTGAATAAAAAAGATAAATTAAAAAAATTATTTGAATTTATTATGAGAAAAATTTACATTATAATAAGCAAAATCGATCATGATGTGAATTAGACTATAAGATCATATAACTAAAGTATTAAAAAGATAAAATTAAAAAACCTAAAATTTTGATAAGCATATACATCTAATTATGTGTATCTAAATATGGATGTAATTGAAACACATGAATTTAGGAAAAAATCACGACTGTAGAGTATCTGTCATGTCATTAATCCAAAAAAATATTCAAAATTAATACCCAAGAAAGATTGGATACATGTATACTTAATAAGATACACTAATAAAAACTAGATACATATAATTGTATCTCAATTATGTATCAGATACATTAATAATATGTCAAAAAGATGTGTAAATCTCCACTTATTGAAACTTTCCGATTACGTTCATGGCTGGTCAGGGCATCTCACCGTGGTAGTGTTTGCTTCACTTTTTAATTTGTCGATGTTGCTCATTGCTCGCTGCATTTGGATCTAATTGACCTCTATCATATCTACCGAAAATTCAACATGAACACTCCTCCAATTGGGCCTTTCGACCTCTTAATCGCATCTGTCGTTGATATGATCTTCAGGAAGTAACAATTTGAAAATGAAAAGTTATAGATTAATTATATGAATATGCATTGATACATTTAATTTAAAGAGGGTAAGAAACAAGAAATTGATGAATAACTTGTACATAACTTCTGGTTGATTGCGGCAGAACAATTTTAGGAGTAAAAATACTTGACTAAACGTTAATTAGCAGGGTGGGGGAGATATTGATAGGGTTGGAGATTGGTTGCTATTAAAACATTAAATGTGGAATTTAAATATAAAGATAATTAATCAATTCTAATTTTAAGGGATGTAGGTTCTTTGATTGTATCTTTAAAATATATGACATAAAATATTAAAAGTGGTAATATATGTAATTATTTGAAAGTAGAGGTAAAATTAGTATATACTGTAATTATGTATGTATAGTTAGGTAGTTTTTTCATATTAAAATGAGTTGAAATATAAATTGAGTTGGGTCCAGATTAGCTCAAGTTTACTTTGGGCTTGACCCTCTTAATCTCAATAATTTTAAGGGAAATTTTTCAAAATGTCAATATTTTAACATTTAATAGGATCCATTTGTCAACACTTTCAATATTTAGTAAAAATGTCAAAAAATAGTTTATTATGTATCTTATTTAAATTTTTATTATTTGTTTTAATTGAAACAATACAATTGTTAAATAAAAGAAAGGAGAAATTTAGGGGAGAGAATAATAATTTTAAAAAGGAACAATCCCTTAAAAGTCTCATTAGTTACAAAAATCAAAACTGAATACTTCATCGGCGATCCCATTGTTGATCAATTTTCTCATTATCGATATTCAAGATTCAATTGAAAATACTCAATCTCTGATCAATTTATTTTGATTAAAATCTATTTTTCTTTGTTTGGTAAGATAGATTTGAACGAAATAGGACAAAAAAAATTGTTGACAAGCAGCTTTGGAGAAGGATTTTTCTGCTGAAAGTTCGATAAAATTGGTGGAATACAAATTGGACCATGTATTAGTTAATTGCTTCATCTTTAATCTGTTTCTAATTGATTATAATTTTGATATGAATTTTTTTACATAATTGTAAACTGTATCTATTTTCATTGTAAATTGTATGTATACATGAACAACGTATGAATAATTAGTTTTGGTGGATTCGTTGAATTTTTTTGCTTGTTGAATACGAAAATAATAATGGATTGTGTGAAGACATGTTTTTTTCATTTGTTGTTTGCTTTTAATTTTTTGAATCAAATTGTATCCCTACGAAAAATAAATTGGAGCGGGTATAGTTTTTTACGACAATGGTACTGTATTTTCGTTTATTTATTTGTTTATTTGTTTTCTGTTTATTGAACTACATTGTATCTTAAAAACCACATCACATAAATACAAATTTATACCATAATGTAACTTATAATCCACACCAGACATATACAATAATTATTATGATATAACGAATACACCAAATATACCATACTGAATAGAAGCTGAAAAAATCATCATTGTTTGTTTAAAATGAATACAAATGTATAAAGTTAATATGTATCTTAACTTGACTGGATACAAACAACACTTCTGCAATTCCCATAACTAAAAAATGATACACATAGCATAATGAATACAAACACATGTAAATACAGTAACTTGTAAAGCTCATAACACAACTACAACAAATATGTCATAGTGAATACAAAACAATCAAGTAATAAGGAGTAAATACAATCTCAAATATCATCGCTATTTGTTTTAAAGGAATACAAATGTATAAGTTAATATGTATCTTTACTTAATTGGATAAAAACAACACTCTTACGTCCATAACTAGAAAATGATATACATAGCATAGTGAATACAAAAATCTATAAGTACATTAACTTATAAAATCACACAACACAAGTACAACAAATATACCATGATAAATACAAAATCATTCAATAAGAATTCATTAATACAATCTGAAATAGCATCACTATCTAAAGTATAAAAATATCCTTAATTTACTGAATACATACCAATGTACATACCTAGAAAAGGGTGATTCCAAATATGTGGTATTTTATCAAAACTAACAAAATATCCGCAACAATATTTCGATCGTTTCTCTTCCATCATTTTAGCAGCGGATCCTACATTATTCGCTATTTCTTGAGTAATACGTAGATTAAATGATGGAAAATCGCTAGAAAATTGTTGATTAAGTTGGATACCTCTAGTAATTCTCTTAGATTCTGTCATTGGAGAGTGATTTAGAGTTTATCAAACCCTAGACGTGATTTCAACTATAGACAACAATTTTGAACGATTTAAACAAAAATAAAATCATAAAACAAATCTTAAAAAACGGATAAAGATGCATACCTTAATCAAAGGGATTGTGTGAATATCTTTATAAAATATATTTTTCAATTTCTAAAAGAAAAAAAAAACAAATAAGATGGAATAGAGAGAGGCGGGCTTTGAAATGGAGAAGAATTGGAAGATGAAAATATGAGAGAGAGAAAATATTCACTTTTTTTAAACATATGAGAGAGAATTAATTGAAAAATGTGTAATTAAGGTGAGATAAAATAGGAAGTAAATTAGGATACACAATCTTTTCTAAAATAATGACATTTTGACATTTTTACTAATATTTATAAAGTATGGAGGTTTTTACTAATTAAGTTAGATTTTTTTACTAGTTTGCTAATTTTCCCTAATTTGAATATATTGTTATTTAAGTTTTATGACCACAATTTAAATTTGAACTCAATTTTTTTTTTTTTAAAAAGTTACAAATGGATAGATAAATCTTAAAAATTATAAAATAGATAGTAATTCATATCATATAGGAACATACGTTATATCAATGCAAATAAAGACTCTTAAAACGAGTTGAAATCAGAGATTAAATTGGACTCGATTGAAGATTCTATTAAAATGAGTTAAGGCTTGAATGTGTTGAGATTGAACCCCGTAATATTTTTCTAGATAACACATTATCTATTTTACATCAGACACAACTATCAATATTATACTATTATAAGCAAGACATTTAGGAGATTTGATATTGCTCCAAGAGCCTTTTTGTTCGGCTAGTTGCCCAGAAAGGTGCAACTTCCACAAGATCCAACAGGTTCTGACCAGTGACGAAGCCATAATTTTTATTAAGAGATAAAAATATGAAACAGTAAAATTGTGTAGAAGTCAAGTGGTGTCAATACATATATATATATATATATATATATACATAAAAATAAATATTTTTACCTAACTACACATTGTAATATTCAGACAAAGGGAGTGTCATTTGACATCCCTCAAGTATATGCGGAATAGCCACTGGTTGTTGTTGTGACAATGGCCACAATTCAAGATGGGTTGTTTTTTGGACAAGTGAGCAGATACATTGATTCATGCTTTTGGTTTTCTTATACTAACTAGTATTAGTATCCGTGTGATTCTCGATCGGTATCAAGTACATGACAACACCATTTCACCAGAAGAACAAGTCACTAGAAAAAGTTAAACTGGTAAAAAATAGGATACTCGGGGCAACTTTCTAGTCTCGTATCCGGATGACCCCTCCCGTCTATAACTTCAATATTAAGCCCTGGCAACTTACTGAACAATTAGACATCCAAAGGGATTGCATTGTGTAGAGCTTTGCAGCATTGGACAACAGAGTCTCATCAGAGAATTTGCTCGACATAAATCGTTCAGCTACGTTGTTTCAGTATACACCGAAGCTGTTTATTTATCCCTGGCACTTGTGCATAACAATGAATAAGGTAGGATTATTGGTTTTCTCTGAAAGACTTCTGCTTTGACAACTACACAAGATGCTCCGAAGGACACAACTGTCATTACCGTGATGAACCTGTTCTGCAAACCCACACATAAACAAAATTGACATCATATAATGGAATGAATGCCTATCTGATAAATGTTACTCCTCAATATATTGTAGGAAGTTGTTATTTATTCTCAAATACATAGAAAATAACAATACATGAAGATAACAAATAGCATTGGAAATGATATTCCTAAACTTATAATGTGTAAGCATAAGGGTAACTACTTTGATAAAGGAAGAGATTGGGTTGGTGAAAGAAGACATAGAATTTATAAGATCTTTCTTCGTGAACATTGAACAAGAATTGTATAAAGATCTCTAGGCACGTGTTTTAGATGTGGCATATGAGACAAAAGATGTCATTTATTAAATTATTGTTCGAGATAATGGTCTCTTACATCTTATTTTCTCACTTTCCATTATAAAAAAAAAAGAGATCAAACTTATCAAAGAAGATGTCTCCCATTTACTCAAGAAGATTCCCAAGAACATGAACCTCATTGTTGTAAACTCTCCCAAGAAGCCAGTTGAGAGCATGTCATTGACATCTCATAAAATAATTGTAGGTTTTAAATTGGATAATTAGGAAGCTCACAAGTGGACTGGCAGATCTAGAAGTTATTTTGAACTGGTATGCCAGGTTCAGGTAAAACTCCTTTGCATACAAAGTATACAATGATAAATCAGTTTCTAGTCATTTCGACATTCACACATGGTGCACAGTCTGCCAAGAATAAGTTGAGAAGGAGTTGTTGAATAAAATTTTTAATCAACTTACTAGCTCGGATTCGAAATTGAGTGAGAATATTGATGTTGCTGATAAGCTAAGGAAACAACTTTATGGAAAGTGGTATCTTATTGTCTTAGATGACTTGTGGGGAAACCACAACATGGGATGAGTTAACAAGACCTTTTCCGGAAGTTGAGAAAGGTAGTGGAATTATGTTTACTACTCGAGAAAAGAAAGTGTCTTTGCATGGAAAACGCCATAGTGATCCTCTTAATCTTAAATTGCCAAAGACTAGATAAAAGTTGGAAGTTATTAGAGAAAAGGGCATTTGGAAAACAGAGTTGTATTGATATCAATTGTTACTGCGGTACTCTTATTCAGTTTCCCCCTTCTTCTTTTTTTCATTTTGTGCGCTTTATAATAAAGAAATACAGTACTCTTGCTAAGTATTCCAAAATGTATTCTTTCAAAATTGTTGTTCTTGTATAATCTCTTTCTTTTTGGTGTGGCTTAAATTGTTTGTTTATCATCAAGTCCATCATAAAGTACATTACTGCAAATGTTCTTGTGTTAAACACACTGAAAAGGGCATTCAAAAAAGAAATGAAACAGAAAGTAGTACATAGCCGAATAAACCAAGCGAACAACTTTTCACTTTTTGATTTCCGAATGAAGCTCTGGTAACATGTCAACGATGGAAGGATTCTCACTAATAGCCTCTACCAGGAACTCAGCTGTAGTTGCGTCAAATGAGAAGCCCCTTCCAGTCATTTCCTTCATAAAAGTTACCATTTCATTTATTTTCCTGCACCTAAGATATCCTTGCACAATAACATTGTAAGTGACATTGTCTGGAAGACAGTTGTTCTCTTCCATTTTTCTAAGCATATCCTTAGCTTCATCTAACAACCCTTGCAAACAAAATCCAGTTATCATTGTAGTGTATATTCTCACATTCAGAAGCAATCCCATTGAGGAAAGCTTCTCAAAAATAGCATGAGCTTTATCGAGTTCACCGTTTTTACACAATCCATTAATGATAATATTGTAAGATATAATATCAATATTTTCTGTCTTTCTTTCCAACTTATTAAAGAGTGACATAGCTTCTTCAACAAGTCCGTACTTAAAATAACCATCAAGCAAAGTACAATAACTGTATAAATCAGGGGCAGGCCCCGTTGATACCATCTCTACAAACAGTTGTTTTGCAACACCAATTCTTCCAACTTCAAACAGGCCTTGCAAGATAGTATTGTAGGTAACAATATCAGGCTTTAATCCCTTTTGAGAAATTTCACAAAACAATTGCATGGCCTCGTCAAGTTTCTTTTTCTTACAGTATCCATTTATTAGTATGTTATAGCTAAAAATGTTAGGCTCAATGCCCTTATCTATCAAGATATCAAAAATTCTCCTCGCTCTATCTAGTTGACCACACAAACAATATCCATCCATTATCATATTGTAGGTGATTACATTAGGCTGGATACCCTTTTCAACCATGTGTTTCATTACTTCCTCGGCATCTTCAACTTTCCCTTCTTTGCATAGTCCATCTGTTAGTATGTTGAAGGTGCACACATCTGGATACATATTAAGGTTCACCATCTCTGAGAACAAAGTTTTAACCTTTCCCACTGACTGAGCTTACACAAACCATCAATCAATGAATTATACGTTAATATGTCTGGATGAATGCCTTTTTGCTTCATCTCATTCAAAAAGTTGATAGCAGTATCTGAGTTCCCATCTTTGCAAAGGGAATCTATAACGATGTTGTAGATATATATGTTGGGCTCAGTGTTACCTTGCTCCATTAACCGGAGCAAACTTAAAGTTTTTTGAGTATGACCGCTTTTGCTGAGTCCATTCATGACGGTTGCATACATGACTTCATTAGGCTCACAAATCTTCTCTCTCACCAATTTTTTGAACAATTCAACAGCATCTCTAACCTTATTTTCATCAAAGATTCCTCTTAGTAGGGTGGTAAAGGTAACAACATCAAATGTTATGCCATTCTTCAAGTAAATAGGTAACACCGAAAATCCAAAATGAGCATGATGCATCAAGCAATAACTATTAATCACACTATTCAAGATGAACCCATCAATTAGAATACCCAATATCTGCATTTCGCGAAAAAGAGAAACAACAGTCGAGTAATGCTTCATACTTATCATATTCTTAAATAATTTAGAGAAATCGACAACTGAAGGAAGAGGCTTCATTCTAACCATTTGATTGAAGAGATTCACAGCATCATCTAAACACTTGAGTTTCTCAAAATTTAACCCAACTCTACCCTTTACTTTACTACAGCGTGAAGAAGAAGAATTAGAATGTAAAATATGAAAGGAAGAGATAGAGAGAATACTATTACATTTCCGCAGAAAAATTCTCCTCATCTCCATTGCCATCTTCAATTTTCGTTCTTCGTTCTTTTGTGTGACCTAATTTTGCCTCACATACTTTATACCCCTCCGTTTCAAAAAGAATGTCCTAGTTAAATTTGGAATGAAATTTAAGAAACTAAAAAGATTTTTAAATCTTGTGGTTCAAAATTAAAATTATGTCAAATGTATTAAAATATTCTTTAATCCTGTGACATTAAACATGTCAGATGAAAAATTAAAATTAAAGTGTTTTCAAAAAAGGAAAGGGGTCATTCTTTTTGAAACAGACTAAAAATGAAATGGGGTTATTATTTTTTAAACGGACAAAGTATTAAAATTAGGCATTAACAAAGTAGTTGCCACACCTTCTCTGTTCTTGTTCTCGACACAAACTAGTATTATCTTCCATTTAATTGTGACAAAGACAAGATAATAAATCAGACCAAATCGATTTACTAATGGGATACCCTAATACGATACAAAAATGTGTTTTAGCTAATGATCCAATTAAAGGAATAATTGAAACAAGGGTATCGAACTTCTTAATAGGATTATTGATTAAAACTGAATTTTTTTAACATTTGATTAGTGCCATTGAACGATTTAGTAGCACAAAAGATAGTCCATAAACCGAACCGTTAATTAGGGGTAGACATAATACCGAAATTTGAACTCAACTAATTCAATTTTTCAATGCCGATTTTTCGTTTCAGCATCGATTCTTTTCCTCGGATAATTTGATTCTTCGATTCGGTGTTCGATGCAAGGATCAAGATTCCACGGTGCACCGAATAATCGAAGTTTCATTAAATAAAATAAAATAAAAAATATTATTTAAATTATATTAATTATATATTTTGAGTTTTGATCCAACACAATTTAATTTGGGCAATTTACATAAATAATATATTATATAACTTTATTTACGAATTATACATATCTTTTACTCTAACACAGATCAGCCTTACTTTCTTACCACAAATAACATGGCTACTATCACTGCTTTTTTATACAATTTTAATAGAATTTTAATATCGATTTTTCATAGCTTCACCTCTTCTTTTTCGGTAAATCACCACCACCACCAGACCACTGATTGTTTACATTTAATACCTGTGGTATAACCTTAATACAATTTTTTAGAACTTCACCTAATATATAACAAAAAACATTTTTAATACAAATATATTATAAGTATTATATGTGAATTTCAAACATTTCGGTACTATTTAAATAGTTGACATTGTCAGAAATGTATTATATTTGTTTTGAAATAATAACTATCGAATTTATAATATATAATATTGAAATCAAATTGTATTATAACTATCATTTATATTTATACAATTTAGGATAATTTTAAACAGATTTTCAGAGCTTCATCTTTATTTTTTCGTAATCAACACCATCGGACCACCAATTGTTTATATTTAAAACAGTTTTGATACAACTTTAATACAATTTTTCAAAGCTTTACCTAATATACAATTTAAATACAACTTTAATATAGTTTATATCAAATGGTTATTAAAGCTAAAAATATGTCATATATGATAATAAAAATAAAGTAACACGTAAAAACATAATTAATCAAATAAAATATATATTATTTATGTAAAAATTCCATTTACTTATAACCCAACTCATTTCAATTTTCAAATTTTGGCCCCAAATTCCTTACTCAAACAAAACAAAACTCACAACCCTATTTTTGACTCCTCTCTAGCCTCTTTTGTCTTCTCTGAACGGAGTCACAAGTATTGGCGGAGTAAGGATTTCAATAAGGGATTCAAAATCAGAAAAAGTAAACATACAAATTAATCGAAGGGGATCAAAATCTATTATATATATCTAAAAGATAATTTTAATCATATTATAAAGACATTCGGACAAACCCCAAACAATAAGGTGGCTCCACCCCTGATCACGAGGTCTCTTGTCTCACTCTCAGTGACTCAATCGCGGAAAGCCAATTAGCACCTGGTAATTGTTCGCTACTAATGATTAGAATCTTTTTAATCTTTATATATAAAATTATAATCATTTAAATAGACATAACATTTATTTTAACATCAATTATTATTTTTAAATAATTTTATTCTTTTTATATATAATTTTATTAATTGACACTAGACATACATATAAAACACGTATGCTAAGCTAGTTTTTATGTACGTGCCAACTAAATGGAAATGAGAAAAATAATTAACACTGCATAATTGTAGTTTAGGAGATAATTTATACTCACATAATTTAATAGTGCAAGTTAAAAGCTACTTTATTAGGGATTGACTTTATATATTACCTTATCTTAGTAGGTCCAATCATGCCACCACCTTTGAAGAGGAGTCATAAAATAACGATAAAATTATGATAAGGCAACGAGAAAATTATCTTCATATATTAAATGAATCAAAACTTTGAATCGTGAATCAATTATTAATGTTTATATTAGTGTAGATATTCTACATCAAACAAAATTACGAAATGTAATCCTTCAATGACTTTTGAGTGAACAAAGAATGCTTTTTTTTTTTTGCTTAAAAACGGAAGGTGTTTTATTTAATTAATTAAGAAGGTTTAACCATACAAAACAGGGGAACTGAAACTAGATGATCCAGTTCCCATAGCATCTCTTTTAAGAGCATTATTTACAAGCAAAGGAGATGTATCAAAAACATAGGGATGATTGCATATCATGTGCGGTTCCTTCGTTTTCCTTCCGTATACTGCTAATATATCTGCTACCATATTAGCCTCCCTCGGGACGTGCTTCATGGTTGGCTCCTTTAACTGTCGGAGTATCGACCTGCAATCAACATAAATATATGAGTATATGGGATTGTTACCATGTAAGGTGTCAAGTAGTACATGAGAGTCAGTTTTCACCAGTAATTGCTTAAAATTCCTATTTTGTGCTAAAATTAGTCCATGCTGCAACGCTAGTAATTCTGCATGAAGTGCATTTTGAGCCTTTACTTTACAAGAGAAGCCTACAACTCAATTACCTAAGTGGTCTCGAATTACTCCCCCTGTTCCGCCGTTTGTGGACTTTAGTTCATACGAGCCATCAAAGTTTAGTTTTAGGATGCCTTTAGGGGGGTTTGTGCCAGTACTCTGGTGACTGGTTTGATGGAGGTTTATTTACTTTTGGAGGAGGGTAGGCTAAGTGATAATATTCAATGGCCTGGAAGGTAATATTATGGTGGGTGCTAGGCAGCCTACTAATATTCTTGTTTTGAAATATTTAGTATTCCTATTTTTCCATACATTCCAAAGAATGATTGGAGTTAGAATAGATGTGGGCACAATGGAGATTTTTAGAGGTGCAAAGGAGGTCTTTGAAATCAGGCCCAGTGAGGTTTATATCATAGTGGTTCCAGATGTGCTTAGTGTCTGGGCATTTTGCAAAGATATGTAATGTGTTTTCGATCATGCTAGGGCATGAGGGGCAGTTCCTTGAATTACTGATATTTCTAGCGTGGAGGACTGCCCAAGTAGGAAGTCTGTTTGTGATGAGGAGCCACATTAAAGAATCGAATCTTATTAATGGCATTTATTTTCCAAACCCAGTCATGATCGAAGTTAGTAGCAATATTTTTATCTGTAGTATTTGATATGTACAACATATAGGCACGGCACTTTTAGTATTAAAATTTCCATCGACACTTTGGTTCCAAAAGCAAGTATCAAGCTTATGAGTAGATTGTTGTGTGTAAGTATTGTTTGATGTCTATGGGGATGTCGAAGGACAGCCGAGAGAGATCCCAATTGTTATTTCAAAAGAGGAAATTAACTAATAGGTTTGTTTCAGATTTAATTTATGTATAGGTTCGTTTATTACTTGCCGAAGTGATTGAGAGGCTTCTATCCAGTTGTCCTCCCAAAGGTTGCCATCTCCAATGTTCCAAGAGATGCCTTTTCGGAATATGGCAATGCTTTTCCAAATATATGAATCGTATTTAATATGAGATCTTTGGCTTCGATTTATGTACTTCTTTTCAAGAACCTTAGCCCAAAGTTGTTCTTTATTTTTTTGGAATAACTTGCCAATAAAGCAAAGTTTTTCCCTTTTGTTTTTTGGATACCCAGACCACCCTGATTTTTGGGAGAGGTCACTAAATCCCAATTTGCTAAGTGCAGTTTTTTCTTGTCCGGTGTGGACCCCCAAAGAAAATTCCTTTGGATGCGGTTGATATGAGTGAGGTAGGATATTGCATTGCATAGCGTAAGTAGGAATGGAGGCTAAGACAGACTTGACGAGGGTGGTTCTTCCTACTAATGATAGGAATTTAGTTTTCCAGCCACTCAATTTGTTGTTCATATGGTCAATAATATATTGATAATCCCAGCTTTTTGGGAGGCCAAGGTATTTCCCAATTTTTTCTTTTTGTCTAATATTCATTGTAGTATTAAAGATATAGATGATAGTACTTGCATTTGTAAGGTCGGCCTTTGCCAATAGAATAATATCATCGGCAAAGAGTAAATGGGATAACGGGATACCTATTTTACCAACTCTAACTGGTTGCCAGAGGCTTTTTTTAATAGAGTAATTAATAAGTCTTGAACGGGATTCCATACAAATGATGAATATATAAGGCTGGATCCCCTTGTTTGATACCCCTAGTGGGTAAGAAGTAATTGGTAGGTTTGCCGTTTATTAGTATTGAGATGGAAGAAGTGGAGATACAAGACATGATTAGGTCGATTATGTTGTTTGGGAAGTTTAGGATAGTTAGAGATTGTTTAACAAACGACCATTCAATTCTATCGAACGCCTTCTCTAAATCGATTTTAAGGATCATTTTTCCAAACTTCCCTTTAGATTTTTTGAATGAGTGGATAGCTTCTTGGCGTTATCAATAGCTCGGTATGAAACTACATTGATTTGGACTAATGATTTTTGTCCAGGAAGGGTCTAATTCTATTCACAATAATTTTAGTGATTGTTTTGTAGATATATAGTATTGCAAAGGCTAATGGGTCTATAGTGAGTAATCTGTTCAGGATTTTTTATTTTCGGGATAAGACAAATGAGAGTCTTGTTTAATTCTGGCGG